ATATATATAGGAGATTCGTGTTCCTAACTAGCTATTAGTCCGCTAGACCCCTCGTCTAGTCGGATAGCTAGTTACGTGTCTGTCCAAAGTCTAGTAAAGATAGCTAGTTACGTAATTCGCGGGTGCGCCCTGAGCGCTTTCCTTTAAGCTCAATAACTAGTCCTTATTCTCCTATTCTGCACCCTATGTTATATGTCCGTAACAATACGCTTCTAGTATATCGAAGTTCGAGAACTATACTACGCCTTATAAGCGATCTTAAAGTTCTAATAGTAGTAGTAGTAGATAACTATTCTTTACTATAATATCGTTTAGTCTACGGTAGTTAATATAGAGTCGCTAATCGTCCTCGCCTTTAGAGACGAATAGGATAGGATATTCTACTAGTAACTATAACTTACGAATAAATCCTTTCTAGAGGTTATCCTCTAAATACTTCTATAGTATTTCTAGTTTAGCTATAGATAGTAGTTAAACTAATTATTTCGTAGGCGTCCTACCTAGGAGTAGAGGCATCTCGTAGTCCTACTCCTAATATTCCGGTAAGGCTTCCTAATCGGGTTCTTCTTTAAAGAGAGTAGCAAACTCTTAGTATTTATTTAGAATATAGAAGTTAATTATAATATCGGATCTAGTAGCCTTTACCTAAAGGACCTAGACGTCCTATTCTAGATCTTAGATATTCTTTAGTATCTCGTCTAAAGTTACTATATATATTTCGATCTTACCTAGTATATCCCGTACTATAGGTAGAGGTATCGATTCTAAGAGTTCTAGAAACTAGATTCTCTTAGCTTTCTAGTCGATATAAGAGTTAGCGTTCTTAAGCTATAGTAGTTCTAATACTATATCTAAGCCTAGCAACTCTATAATATTAAACTAAATCGTCTCTTAATAGCGTCCTATCTATAGAGGTACTATCTCGGTCTCTTTATTAACTAATCTATTATTATACGTAACCGGCTTTCTATCGATTATATATAGTAGGAAAGTATTTTCCTTTACTTATAGGTAGATCTTCGCTATTCTAGCAAACTTTAGCGTTATAAAGATTCTAGTATACCCTAAATCTACTAGCGCCTAGGCTAGTTAGTTATTAATATATACCTATACTCTAAGGTTATCTACGTACCTAGCCTTAGTTATAGTATATTATTATAGCCCTCCCTAGTCCGTCTAAGGGTCTAATTTTAGCGGACCTCGTTATTTCCTACTCGTTATCTAGTTCTTCTTCGAACTAGGACTAGAGGGAAATAACTCTTATCTAGTAATAATAGAGGTAGAAACCCTAGTTCTATCCTATTATTCGGCTATATTACGCGTATACCTAGCCTTTAGGTCGTTAACGCCGCGGCGTAGCGTCTAGGGTACGTTAATCCTATCTAGAGTAAAGTATTCTCTATATAGCGTAAACTCGCTTCCGAACGGTATAACTTCTATTATAAGTAGTTACTAATAGGGTAGGAAGGTAGCTAGGCGTAGACGGTTAAGGCGGAGATAGAAGTATAACTAATTAGTAGTAGGTAAAACCTATTACTAACTCCTATACTTAAGGTTAAGTACGAAGCTCTTAACTACTAATATCTTTGTACTTATATATATCTACTAGGGCGCGCCTCGCGCGCCTAGTGCGACCTCCCGCGTAGAGCGTCTAGATCGTACCTTATAAGTATACGCTTATAGGAGCGCCCGCTATAAGCGTTCCGGTAGTTACGTACTATTAGTCCCCTACGAGGGTCTTAATATAAAGGTAATACTATCGCTAAGAATCTAGTTATAGAGCTTCGTTTTAAACTTTATTTAATTAAATAGGACCGCTTACTTATTAAGCTCTACTATAGCTAGATTACTACTATATTCTAGAAAACTAGTCCTTGCTTACTTAGCTAGAGGGGTCTTCGGCAAAGGCCTAGTAGCTTTAATATAGTATACTTCCTTTATATAATAGTTATAGCTACTCGTTTACTTCTCTATTATATAGTAGGTCTTCCTATAAGAGTACTATTTATAGTAGATCTTATAAAGCTACTAGATTAAGCTAGTATCCTTATACTATAGTAGCTAGCTATAGCCTTATATAACTAGCTACGTAGTATTCTTCTTATCTCTAATCGGTACTTAATAGTCCTTTAGTTCCTACTATTTTATACCCTTATAACTCTTAAGGCTAGAAGATAGTATATTTAATAGAGTAGCTATATAGCTACTAAAGTCGCTAGCGCGCTAAAAGATAGAAGGTATATCGAGTACTAAGGTACCTAGTACGGTTAATAGCTCGCTAGAGGTATTAGAGGCTATAGTTATAAAGTAATAAAGTACTATTTATAGATTTATTAAGTTAAGTTTAAGATAGTTTCTATAGATTGATAAGTATAGCGTAATTCCGTACCTAAAATACGTAAATTTAGCTTTATTTTTCGCTATATAGTATACTACTATAAGTAGCTATAATACTATACCTATTAATTATAATTAACTAAGTAATTAAGGACCTCTTAATTTTATTAATTAAGTAGAGGCTTCGCTTATATTAATTATTACTTACGCTAAGAATAAGCAAGTTAAGGAAATTCCTTAAGAAATCCTTAATTTCAAACAAGTCTAATTAAGAACATAACCATCATGTAGTAGGGCGGGCTGTTGGCTCCACAGTGTCTCCGATGACTCCGAAATTCGTTTCTTGCAAGACTTCCTTATCAAGATACTAACACATTGAACTGCTGCACGGTCTGCCAGAAAGGAAAGATGTCGAGCTTGTCGTTCGTGACCGTCGATGTCTTCACGAAAACCAAGTTTACTGGGAATCCTCTGGCAATAGTTAGATTGCCGGAGGGTCGCAACGTCTCCACTGAGCAAATGCAGATGATAGCGCGGGAATTCAATCTCTCGGAGACCGTCTTCATCCACGAGGCAGCACAAGCGAAGGACAGTGTGCCAGCATGGCAAGTCCGTATCTTCCTGGTCAACGGAGAGTTACCTTTTGCTGGTCATCCTACCATAGGTGCCGCATGCTACGCACTCGGATCACTTACTCAGAACGCCAAGAAGGGCAAGCTACACTGTAACGCTGGACCTATCGAGCTTGAGTTTGACGGCACTGATGCTCGGGCCTCCATACCACAGAATGTGCACATCCACACCGAGCACGAAGTCACCATCGACCAAGTCTACTACTTCCAGCCAGCAATCGCCCATTCGCAGCCACCGAAGGCTGTCGATCTCGTCAGTCCAGTCAAGGGCGTGAGCTTCGTCTGCGTGGAACTTCCCTCACTAGAAGTCCTCGCTCAAGTCCAGCGCCCAGGTATAGCAGTAGCACCCAAGCTCGATGACTCATGGAACGGTGGCTTCATTGGCTCTTACTTCTATGTCATCACGAAACAGGACGATTCAATCTGGGAGATCAGGACGAGAATGATCGAGATGTCTATGGAAGACCCTGCGACTGGAAGTGCAGCTTGTGCTTTGGGTGCATTCTTGGCCCTGAAGCATAAGCTCAAGTCTGTACGATACTCGTTCAGACAGGGAGTTGAGATGGGTAGGCAGAGCGATATTGGCTTGGAAGTAACGCTCAGCGAAAATCTCGATGCTGTAGAGCATATTGAATTGGTCGGCTCAGCAGTGAAGGTCATGGAAGGGACGGTCTACTACAAGTGAAGGGCTGCAGCACTATATCGGCATGAAGTATGGCAGTGCTGCTCCAAACATCAGTAAACAAACCTGGGTCATGAGAAGATCGGTAATAAGGACAATTGTTCGCCGCATTATGTTCGCGAGGCCATGGCCGGCGGGCTAGGTGCAAAAGTGCTTATCAATTATCAAGAAGGACTTGCTCTAGAGGACGCTTTTCTCTTCGTTTCGCTGAGGTAATGGAGACGATGTTGCGATGCCGCGGAAGCGAATTTTGATATGCTCTCAGCATAGTCTTGCAGTGTCGTGGTCACTCTCGTCGTGAAGTCGTTAGCTTCGTCTTCGTTGTCCGCACTTTCGTCTCGCCTTTCGATGCTGGAGATCTCCTGCTCGCCCGTTCAATGCAGTCCATCACAGCAGCACAATCAGCGAGGTGTTCCAGCACATTCTTCCACGATGTCTTGTCTGCGTTGAAGTGCTCGTTGATGTACGAACACATGATTGACTCATCCAGACCAGCATGCTTTGGGGCCACCCAGCACCAGTCTAACCAGAAGCGTGCGAAATTCAAGCCACCCGACCATCTCAGCCTCATCTCTCGGCTTCGAGTTGCGAGCTTCGTGCAGCTGAGCTCTTAACTTGCTCGAGAGCCTGACCGGTGCTCACGCAATTTCAGGGACTAGTCATGCAGGCCTGTAAGTACCTTGACGTGGCCGCAGTGCCAGATAGCTCTCGACTGGCTGCTCCAGCTGCACCTTTGAGGCAGTCGACCGTGCTGCCTTCACAGCCTTGAATAGAGTCCAAACCATCTGTAGGTACGTCAAGCATATTCAGTGTGGCGTTGGTCCCGTGCTGCCTTCTATCCGACTTGAAATGGCCAGTCACTATCCGCAGGGCGGCGGCACATAAGGTCGCTGGGCGCCTTCTTTCTGCTTGTCTTCTTCCCACAGAGGGCTTACTCAGCTCTCCTCCCATCATCAATCTCCTCGCGACCCAGCAAGATGGGCAACTCAGGGTTTCTGCCAATACCGGTGCCCATGGCTGAACCTGACACACCACAACCAACACCTTTTCCGATACGTATAGTCACAGAACCGCCACCTCCCGTGGATCTTATTGGTCTACCTCCTCTAGATACATCCAAGAAGAACGATTTCTTCTACGAAGCATGGGACCGCTTTCTGGCTCTTGAGCCGAAACGGGCTAAGAAGACCTCAGCCCTTGCGAAGAAGATTGTGGAAGAGAAACGAGGCATCGAGCAGAAGTCTGGCGAGGGCTTGGCGATCAAGCAGAATGCCGCTACCTCTTGGGAAGAAGCCGCAGATGATTGCAGAGCCAAAGTTGCTGCAATAGTAGACGAGTGCGAACGTCTCAACAGGAAATATGTAGACCACGCCTTCGATCTTGAAGGTGGCCCGTATTGCCTGGTCAACCTGGAAGGCCAGTTTCCCAAGGCCATTGGGAAGATCGACCCACCGAAATGGATCAAGCGAATCGAGGATGTCTTCGAGAAGCCACAATTCTTCATTGACGGGGCAAATGCTACAGACGTGCATCAGGGCAGTGCTGGAGATTGCTGGTTCTTGGCAGCTCTGATGGCGATTAGTGCAAAGAAAGAGCTGATCGAGAACCTCTGCATTGCTAGAAATGAAAAGATTGGCGTATATGGTTTCGTCTTCTACCGGGATGGCGAGTGGATTTCCGAGGTTATCGATGACAAGCTGTATCTCAACGTTGGAGATGACGACAAACTCAGCATTGTCCGAGACTGGAGCAGAAGCAAGAAAGAGGGAAGATATGTCTACTATGAGGAAGATAAGCTCAAAGAGCTGCTACAGCGTGGTGGCGAGGCACTTTTCTTCTCGCACTGCAAGTCAAATGAGACTTGGCTGCCGTTGATCGAGAAGGCCTATGCCAAAGCACACGGAGATTATTTCTCGATCGAGGGTGGCTATGCTAGTGAAGGTATAGAAGATTTGACAGGTGGTGTCGGGGTGGTCATAAATCCAGAGGACATTATGGACAAAGACCGGTTTTGGAAAGATCAACTGAGTCAAGTCAATGAGAAGTATCTCTTCGGAGGTGGTTCGAAAGCTAAGGGAAGCAAAGGTGTGATTGGAGGACATGCGTACGCAGTCATGAAAGCATATGAGGAAGGCGATCTGAGGCTGTTGAAGCTCCGCAATCCGTAAGACGAAGTCCACGTCCGTCGTTGACAGGTCAAGCTAACGAAGTACAGGTGGGGTGACACCGAATGGGAAGGCGACTGGAGCGATGGCAGCAAGCTCTGGACCGCAGAAATGATGACCAAGCTCGGGCATACTTTTGGCGACGATGGTGTCTTCTGGATGAGCTACACAGACTTCCTCAAGCACTTCCCCAATATCAATCGGGTCAGGCTCTTTGACAAGAGCTGGCAGGTATCGCAGCAATGGACTTGCGTCAAGGTGCCTTGGACAGTAGACTACCTGGACACGAAGTTCGAGTTCACCATCACTGAGAAAGGCCCTGTTGTCATCGCATTATGCCAGCCAGACGACCGATACTTCAAAGGCCTAGATGGTCGCTTTTGGTACTCGTTACACTTCCGCGTCTACAAGAACGGCGAGGAAGAGGGTCGATGGATCGTGCGAAGCATGCACAACAGTGGCTCTGCGTCCGAGATCACGCGATCAGTATCTGCCGAGATCGAGAACCTCGACAGAGGGACGTATAGCGTTGTCTTCAAGGTTAGCGCAACACGATGGACCGGCTCAATGACAGCAGAAACGAACATCAACCTGTTTGCTGCGGATCGGAAAGAGAAGCTACTGAACGTTGGTAGACGATTCGACTACGCACAAGCTAAGGGCAATCTGCGGGCTGCAGAAGACGCTGTCAGGCGCCAGCAAAGACGTGATACGACGGCGGAGAGCAACGATGCGCTGAAGAAAGCCAGGAGGCTCAAAAAACAAGAGAACGAGCGGGAGCGGCTACGGAAAGAGCGTCTCGATAAAGTGACGAAGCAGAGGAAGAGAGAGTACGAAGGGGCTGTTCGGGAGCGAGCTAAGACGAAGAAAGAGGTCAAGAAAGCCAGAGAAGCTGCTAAGAAAGCCCCGAAGGGCAAGAAGGTAGAGAGAGAGCCTATCATCGTTGTGGAAGTGAAGGGAAGCGAGGCGAGTTCGACGGCGGTCAACACTCCCGCATCGTCGACAGATGACAATGCCGCCAAGTCTGACGAGACAATATCTTCCGCTGAAAACAGCAATTCGGATGCTGTCACGGAGATCGCCACCAAGAAGGATATCGCACCCGAGCATGTTGAGAATAAGAAGGTAGAAAGCGTTGCAGATGTCCTAGCAAAGATCCAGATTACGACTCCAAGCAAAGCGGCATCGGAAGACAACGAGCAAAATGACGGAGAGGAAAGCGACGAGCCTTACGAGACTCCTCTAGATGAGCCACAAGAAGTCACTAACGACGACTTCGAGTGGGACTCCGATATAGATGCGCCTGTCGTCGAGGACTCGGACGAAGATGAGACGCAGCAACAGCAGAACGATACCATTTTCGGAACAGACCCATGGAATGCATTATGCGTTCTTGGTTTGCGCGTGTACTCGCAGAACTCCGAAGCGAAGATTCGCGTTGTCAAAGGTAACGAGACCGCGTGAGCACAAATGGATGTTCCGGTTGGCTGTAGGAGATACATAATCGCAGCTCATTGACAGTGTAAAGATCTCCACACGTACTTGTAGAGTCTGACCTGGCCCATCATTCATCTCAGGTCGTAGTAATGGAATGGAAACCCCAGTGCGAGGGACACTGGATGTGGGCACACTGACGCTCGATCGTGAAAGCTGATGTAGCTCAATACTACACATCTACGGACATGAATAGAATGAACAGCCGTGTGGTTCGGCATGTGCAAGAAAACGCCACCAACACCATACACAATGTCTATCACAAACGGATCCTCTACCATGGTCTAATGAGCTCGTCCGTAAACATCAGGTAATGTGGGCTGACGATCCGGACTGCGACTGACGCTCCTGTCGTTTCGTCGTCCCATGCTAGCGGCATCAGAAACAAGACGAGCACCGTCGTCCTCACGACCGAATCGAGGCGGTCTGCTTAAGCTGCGTTCCGATCCCAAAGCTGGCGAATGATCTCGTGGCACCGGATCATACCGGCCTTTCCTGTCGCTATAAGGTGGTGGACCAGGCACACCTGGTCTTTGCGCCATTGGCTCCATGAGCAACGAGTTGCGCGCATCAAGTGGTGTAAGGTCGTCCAAATCCCGTTCAAGCTTGTTCTTCTCCGCTGCCTTGCGGGCCTTCCTGTGTGGGTTTTCGCGGATGCAGTTGATGAGGGCGTTGACGACCAGCAGAATTGCCAGCAGTCCGGTAAGGATACACTGTACCACGATCAAAATTATGCCGGTGATTGTCTTGGTCGTCTGACTGATACCCAGCTCTTCCACGAAGATCAGGATGCATACGACAGAGATGACGCGGACAACCTGAATGAAGATGTTGATCCAGTTGCCGCTTCGCCGTTGGAAAGGTCTAGCCCAAAGGAGCACAATCAGCATCACTGCCTCAACGATCAACTGGCCAGCCGTCTGCACAAGTCCGTGACCATTGGCACCAGCGATGACACAGCCTTTCGCGAACATGTAGACGATGACCGGCACAAATAACCACCAATATCCCTTCTTGTAGTTCTCGTAGAACAGGTTGTATTTGACCCATGTGTCCTTGTCCTCGTACAATTTCGATGCATCACCCTCCAGCTGTTTGTACTGGTGAGCTTTCGTATAGATCCTCCAAGAGAAGAAAGCCAGGACGGCGGTAAAAAGTCCAAGGGTAACGCCAGCCAAAATCTTGGCCGCCCAAGAGTCGCCACTTGTGAACTGAAAGATGCAGTATAGTGTCCAGGTACCGTAGAGTAGGAGGATGAGATTCGTGAGTGCTTTGGCCAATCTCCACCAATAACGCTTGCGCCACGATTCCATGCTCTTGGGAATGTTGCCAAACATGCTCCAGGCCTCGAGGATGACTTTGAAAAGCAGAATGACTACAATGATCGCACCACAGATGATTGCAAAGACGAGGAGGACGGTAAGGAACCTGCAGATCGACGGACGTAATGATCAGTAGATGTCTCATATATTACTACACGCCTTGCAGGCATCGGACTTACGTGTTACTGCTGGGTATTTGTAGCTGTTCGACGTAGCCTTGGATGCCACTGACTAGGTGGTTCTCCCGTGTGTTGCCAGATGATGTTGTGTTCGAGCTGCTACCAGAGTCTTCGCCAATATTGGCCGAAGTGCCATTGACCGTGACAGATGTGCCGTCGCGAGTCCACAGCAATACAGTCTCGAGAGCGCGTCGCACAAGCTTTCCCGAGGTGGTCGTATTGCCACTGCCATCGCTATACACCAAAGTGGCATTATTCTTCAGGTACTCGTAGCTATCGCTGGTGAGATTGCCTCCTGTTCTCGCACGGAAATTGTCTATTCCGGTCTGCAACTGTCCCCAAGGCACAAGACCGGTCGAGAAAGCGAAGTTGGCTGTGAAGCTTCGGTATACCTGTGGGTACTGTACGCTCATCATACCATTCATGGCGAGACCTTGGAACCAGCCAATGACCTCTCCGAATGTTGGTGACGGCGACGAAGCACCAGGGTGTCCTCCAGCTGCGATACCCGCCAGCCCAGAGAGCAACAAAGCTGCTGCCGCCATTCCCACTGCAACGTATGATATTATTGGTGTCTGAAGTGTTTGTCCATTGCCAACAGTCGATTCCACGCAAGCAACATTTTCCCCAGTATCTGCATCCTTCAACTGCATCTTGACCAAGCCGTCGAGATCAGGAATAGAGAAGGCTATCGCCGGGATCTGAGAAGCGTAGTTTTCGGGGATCGTCTGGTTGCCTTGCGACGCGAAACTGGCAGCCGGTACAGGGCACATCTGCGGCATGCCAGTATCACAAGGGCTGAAGTCCTTCGTATAGACAATTTTGCCATAGGCAGTCACCACCAGCTCGGCCGTAACGTTCTGCACCTTGTCGCTGGTACCAGCAACATCGAATGTGAGGACTCGGGAGTCCTTGTCATATGAGACATCGAGGTTCTTGACCTGCACGGTTCCACCTTCCATACATTGCGAGAAGCCTGATGTGCTAAGAATGTTTCCACCCAATACACTAGTTGCCAAGCAGGCCAGTGGCAGGAGTCCTTTGACTCCTGTGGAGGAGCGCATGGTCGCGTGATACGGCTCACGGCCAAGTACAGTCGTCTAAGAATGTACCAGACAAACAATACTATCTCTAGTATTGTCGTGGTGTATATAGCTGCCCAAGTCTATGGATTGGCTGTAAGATCTAATCTTCTGCTGCCTAGAAATGGTTTGATCGATTCCGTCTCGAGTAGTGTTTCAGTCCAGTCCCGGTGTAAGCGAATGTGATAACCCTGGAGAAGGCCGTTCAAAATCGTGGGAGATGCTTTAGCGAGTGTATAAGAGTCCAAAGACAAGTAGGAAACGCGACAAGACCTAAGATGATACACGAATAGCAAAAGAGATACGACGCTGCACTGCAAAGAATACGAGATGGAAGGGTTTTGATTGTGACGGAGGGTGTCCCTGGCTGCGTTGGGGACGTTGCAAGAGCCATACCCAATCAGTGTAAGCTTCTATTTCGAGGTCTCGATGGAAGTGGACGCCATCGATTTTCTAGACTGTCCGCCTCTGTGGGGGAGGCGGAAAATCTCCGAACATTCCGAGGATTTAGGCCTATGCAATGGTCTGGCAGCTGTTCACCGCGGTCAGGAAGTCAACTCTCCTCGCGGCTGTAGCAGTGTAGCAGAGTGAGTTGGTTGTGATTCAGGCAAGACGCGCGTTGCATCCATCTCGTGAGTTCTCACCAAGCTAGCACGGACCGTGCAATGCTGTGCCTCATCGTCACGAGTACCGGCGCACGCGATGAATGCGTCGAGCGGCTTTGTGGCTGTGAGGCCGGGTGGAGTGCACAGAGATCATCTGGGTCCCGGCTGACTGACCCGTTGCAAGAGTAACGGTTGCTTGAAGAAATGCGGTTCGTGAACGACATGGACGGGCTGTGCAAGGGCTTTGCTGACTACAGCTGGCCCTGGCGAGATGTGGTAAATGTATTGGTGAATAACAATGTGCCGGCCCGCGCCTACAGTATACACGCAGGCTGTATCTTGCCTCTAGTGCCGTCCAGTCAGATTGTAGGAAACGGTCCAGAATATGCACGTCAGCCAGTCTTTGCAGGAGTAAAGTGTTTCAGAAGTCAACACGAGACCGTCGGCGAAGCCACTCCCTTGTCACCGACATCCTCTCCAGTCTCCACATTTGCCGCGGCTCGACACGCCCGCCTCTAGGGATGAGGGCGAGGGCGAACGACGTCTTAGGAGAAAAATTGCTGGAGAAAGTGGTCTGGAGTGTCCGCCTGCTTGCCTGCCAAGTGTTTGACAACGCAACCAACGATGCTGTCTTGCCTCGAAGAGCCCCTTACGCTTGCTTACTAGAGCCACCGACGCTGGACTGAGGTATTGCTTTTGAGCTTGACCCTATAAACTCCCCCCGGGGCCCCGACTCTCTGCGGCAAAATTATATAAAGACAAACAGCCTCCTTCCACAGGGTCGAAAGCGTTATTGCTGCTGCTGTCTCTTCGCCACTCAAACAACCGAAGACCGCCAGTATGCGGTTATGGGCCATTGCCGACATACATTTGTCGTTCAAGAGCAATCGCGAAGAATTCGCTAAGCTTCAATCGCGTGGGCCGGACGATGGCCTGATCTTGGCTGGAGATGGTGCGCCGCAGATCTAAACATGATTAAGATCACGCCACGAGCTGACCAATGTAGTTGGTGAAAACCTGGAAACATTGAACGAAGCCTTCAGAGTGGCAAAAGGCAAATTCAAGCATGTCTTCTGGGTACCCGGTAACCATGAGCTGTATACTTCTAAGGTCGCCAAGGAAGATGAAATGCATCTGAAAGGCGAAGCCAAATACATGGCCTGCATCAAAGCTGCGAAGAAGCATGGTGTACTTACTCCAGAGGACGAGTTCATGACCTGGGTGTACGAAGATGACCAAGGATTTCAAGTGGCGGCCGTCATCTGCCCAATCTTTACTTTGTACGACTACAGCTTTCGACCACAAAATGTAACGCGAGAAGGAGCGTTGGAATGGGCGATGGAAGAAGGTATTCGAGCTACTGACGAGAGCCTGCTATATCCTGACCCATACTCGACACGTGATGAATGGTGTGCTCAGCTTGTCTCCGAATCTGAGACGAAACTGGCCAAAGCTGCAAAGACCGGCTTTCCGCTGGTCATCATCAATCACTGGCCACTTCGTGAGGACACGATCTTTATTCCCAAGGTCCCGCGCTTCAGCTTATGGTGCGGTACAACCAAGACCAAAGACTGGCACACCAAATACCATGCCAAAGTGATCGTGACCGGTCACCTACATGTACGCAGGACCGACTGGATCGATAACGTGCGCTTCGAGGAAGTAAGTTTAGGCTACCCACGGCAGTGGCAAGAAGCCAAGGACGAAGGCCACAACGTGAACACACTGCTACGAGAGATCCTCCCGGGACCACCAACACCCACGGGAGGGGAAGAGCCAACGACGACTTGGAGAGGTAGAGGCAGAGGCTGGTCGTTATCGCACGGTCTGGAGGAACCTCTGCGACGCCCCACCTTTGCTGCAAAGGATGCACCCGAGGATGCTCTGACCATGACACCTACTAGTCCTACTGGTCGATTGGTCTAGGTCCGGGACAGTCTGCCTTTCGTATGAAGGAGAGCGCCAGGAGTGAGTATGGTGCTTGGCGTACTATGCTTGTGCTTCCGAAGACGGCAATCCGCGCGGCCTAGCTTGAACAAACAGCGCATTCTGATTAGGCTGCCCACTCTTACCTACCATGTGCCACGACTGCGAAGATCATCCCATGTCCAGTTGCTCAAGCTTGGCACGGACTGCGCCCAGCAACTCGCTCTCGTCGACAAGAGTATATCCAGTGAGATCTCGCGTGAACAACACCGCTCAGCACATACACTCCAATACGGGTCACGCAACAATTCCATCTTCAGTGGCAGCCAGACACGGAAACCAATCGCCACCGCTGACCGCAGTGGCAAGGGAAACAACATTATCCAGGTGGCGACAGTGCCGATAATGTCCTCGCAGATGTCTATGAAAAGCCTTCACCAAGTATGGGCTGGATAGGAGCGGAGCAAGCGGTGCTCGAGAATGATGAGGTCTCACTGGTGACGAAAGTCTAATGCTTTGACATGTATGGCAGACACGATTTGACGAGGGCATGCCGCTAAGATAACGAGCCATCGCTGGCGCGAGATATGCACATAGCGACGAACAAACAGCTGCACGTTCAAGCCTCAGCTACTCTCACTTGCATCCTTACCACGATTTTCAGGCCGATTGACGATCAGTCCACCTTCCACAGCACCACGTCTCAACATCGAATCGTCCGTCTCTTTGATCATAGCCTCCTCGCCACCATCCACGAATCGGAACGTTCTCAGCTCGGTCTCCTGCCACCAAGGAGTCGTCTGCTCGCCTTTCTCGTTGACATCACCAGTGACATAATGATTAAAGAACCCATGACTCACCAGCGCTACCTCCTTCTCCGGCCTATCACGGATGAATCGTCGAAGCTTCGCCGCTCGTGCGTTAAGCGACTTCGGATCGACCGCGTACTCGCCTTCATGCAGGAACCAGCCATATTTTACATGATCGAAGTCGACAGCTTTGGGAAATTCTTGCTTGAGGATGTCGGCTTCGCTGCCTGTATCGCAGGGTGCATCCGACGCTTCTTCCGCCATGGGAAGGGCAATGATCCTCATCCCACGATCGATACACGGCGTAAATGTTAGTTTGCAGGTCTCTAGTGCACGACGGAGTGGCGAGGCCAGGAGAAGCTCGATCTGGATTGTGGTGAGTAAGAAGTACGAGCTAGCTTTTGGTGCACTGGTCACGTACTGAATCATGATTTTTGAACTCTGCACATCTGTCTGCACATTGCTCCCTTCCCTTTGGTGTCAAGTGTGGATCGTGTACTTGATGCCCATTCTTTGTGACCGCCTCCGAGTGGTATCCTTGACCGTGCCGCATGACATGAAGGATCGGTGCCATGTCGCTGCTGAGTCACTGGGGATATGTTGTATGAGTGCAGATGTGGCATGAAATCGGAGCTGCTTTCCAGCACACTGTTAAAAGTAGGACTGTGCTGAGGACGCTCGGTAACCTACATGTAGATCTTTGTCACATGTGCTCAGGTACCACGAGAGATGAGAGATCGAGCTACGTCAGAGTGCAGCTGCCGGGCCCACTCACGATCAGACAAGCTCTCACTACACTAACCTTGGATCATCGTAAATGCTGGATAACGCTTTCTGCCAGATGGTAGTGATACAGTGTGAGCTTAGTCTAAGATCACTGGACATGGCTAAATCATCAAAACATTGATCTTAATCGTTCATATGACCCCACCACCAAAGTCCTAGTTGTGCTGTGTCCTCACACGTACAATAGACGACAATGCTTTCATCCCTTGCCAGCTAAGCTTTCACACCGCAGACAGTCTCAATTTGATTGCCCTTGACGGCTTTTCAATCTGCAGATGATTCTACAAAATCTCCAGCCCAAGATCATCCCCAAAGAACCTCTCGACGATAGCTGGGCCGTGCGTAACTCCTTGCCTACTAGTACCTGACTGCATCATCACCCACAGCTACGGCTATTGATGGCGGATGCACCGGATATCTCAAATACTGCGGTTCCTCCGTCAGATCTCGGGCGTACATCATGTACTGATGTAAGTTATAAGCAGCCATTCCTTTCATGTACATAGCGCCCCCATTTGATACCCAATCGTGCAACAATATCACCCACAGCGGAAGTGAGACTCTGCATTCGGACCACTAGACCTGGAATGCAGCTCTGCTGTCGTTGGTATGAGTCCTTCCCTATCAAGGATCTCCAACGGTAGATAATTTGCCGTCGACCTCCAGGGGGAGATGGCCTCGATGGCGTCGTTGACGCACATCTCATTACGGGAAGATAATCCGACAGTCCTGTGGGTGGAGCTGTTGGGAGTACGAGCAGATAGCTTGAAGGCTCTCTTGCCCGTCATAAACTCGACGCCCGTACGGTGAACACTCCTGCACGCGCTGCTTGATCTCGTCCTGGAGCGGCTCCGCCGAGAGTGGCGAAATTCGAGAGTGTATCGGAGTGATGGTGAGCTTGGGGTAGCACTATATCGTGTACGTCTCTCCCGAAAGTGCGTATCAAAGAAGAAGACATGTAATCTGCTTCTCTAACGACTGGTGCCGTGGTCATCGGGCAAATCCAGCCATCCTATCTCACGACCCTTCATATCGTGACTGTGTCATAGTCCAGCGTTGCTCATAATCGCGAGTGCTCCGTAGATACGCACTAGGTACTGTCCTTATACTCGGTCTGTCCAGGTCAAAGGGATCAGAGTATTCTGTATCTCTATTGCGCTGCCGGGTCATGAAAGAAGATATCGAGCTCCGGTTCGAAGGAGCGGCATGGTTTATCGTCATGTTGGACTTGCTGCGGAAGGGTTGCAGCACATGGCTCAACGTTCGTTGCGCAAGACTGGCAGCGCTCTGTATTGGCGCCAGGCCTGGTCGTTTCAGCGCACGCTGCAGCATCTCCTCCTGTGTTTTCTCTGGCGGAGTCACAAATGGATCTTCCGGCGGCTGCTGCTGTACTATGGCTAGTGAAGTGACTGACGGATATGACTTAAATGATGGAGGTATCGCAGTCGGCGCAATACATTCGCGCGACAATGCAGGATCGATCGTAATCTCTGGAATGTGTTGTGGGTTGCCCGATCGTGAACTCGCTCGTGACCGGTTGCCACTGGCGCTGAGTAAGACTGTCGCTAATGCAGACCGTTGTTTGAACAGATAGCCCCTTGGGCTGTCGGTCGACGCTGCTGGTGTCTGTGGTCGGCTACGATCTGGATTGACCACTCTCAGCGCGCCAGCAGGCATTGATTCTCGGTAGCCTTCGCCGGTACCTGGAGCATATGGCCGAGCCCAGTGTTGTGTGCTCATGCGTATGATGTGGTGTTCTTCGTCTACAGTCACGGGTGATCTGCTCACGGACATCTGTGGCGTCTGCTTGGGCGTGGCTTGCGCCATGAAAACGGTCCACTTTCGTAGTAACGTTGGCCGGAATATCTTCTCATCGAGCTCTGTGCTCTCTCCGACGTCGTCGTCTCTCCTCCTCTGCCTGCGCCGAAAGCAGAAGAATATCAGAGCACCGACCATGAGCAAGCCAGCAATCGCACCAGAAAGTCCACCAACGACCGCGTGCTTGGACACTGTTCTAGTAGCGGGCGCTGCAGTGTTTGTTGGGGTAGAGGCTGGCTGGTTCGTCTGCACCGTCGATGTCATGGAGCTAGTGGCAAGACTGGCTTGCGTGCTTAATGTCGCAACTATAGACAAGGAGGCAAGTGCAGTCGAGCTAGTTGTGGCTATGCTGCTGCTCATCATTGTTTTACTACTTGTTATGGTCGATATTGGTACAATTAAGGAAGATGTCGCCACAGGCGGCAAGACGTGTGCCGAGCTTGATGTGAAACGACTTGAGGGTGTCGTCGATGTGCTTTGAGATGGCTGTGAAGGCCCCGCCAAGCTCGTCGTGCCAGAGATCGTAATATATGTCGTCCGTAAAATCGTACTTTGCACAGTGGCTGTTGATATTGGCACCGTCACTATGGAGAAGGCAGACATTGTGCTGGTCGCTGCATCAGAGCCGAACGCGGTCCGGCCGCTCGGTAAGGATGTCAGAGTAGACCAGAGCGCGCTCAATGGTGGCTTGTCCTCGCGATCGTCTGGTTCACGTTGCTGTGGTTCAGTGTAACTCATGGGAGAGCATCGTCATCTCATAATCGCTCCGTCGTGCTCGTAGACCAGGTCGTAGTCGCGTTCGTCTGCGTCAGTGCGGTCGTATACTCGAATATTGCGCAGTCTCCAGATTCGGAGTAAAGCAGAGTGGTAATCGATGAGGATGCGCACGCGTGTAATAACAAGAGAGCAAGCGCGCCATCCGAGGCGCCAGAAACGTCTTGATCGCAGGTAATAGCAAAAAGAGATCACTTAGCTGGTAATTACTATAGGGTACGTGAGCCGGTCAACGTATCCAAAGTCTATAGGTGGCGTGCAGACGCGGAGCCCAAGTGTGTCAAAGTAGGATGGTCAGAGAGATGGACTGGCAAGGATCGACTTGGCAGCTGGCGCCTGCGTGTTTCATCTGAGCTGAGACTGTGTAATTCATGGCGGCAAGATGCAATGTCTCTGATGGGATCCAGACCCTTATAGGTGTGCGTTCTTGCACCTCTCATCGACGCGTTGGGCGTGCACAACGGAGTGACTCGATGCAAAGGGCGAGGTGGTGTTGTAGTAGAAGGATGGTGCGAATGAAGATGGACGAATGAAGTTGACACCGCCTCGGTTGACGACTGCCAAATCGGGGATGGCACAAACCTACCTGAGACGAATCCGATCTTGCGAGACATCGAATCGAGCCTTATCACCGTGATTATATTGCCAGCAACAAGGTGAGAGCCTCACACGGCAGGAGATACTAGTCTGCGTTACAGTTCGTTGCTCCAACGCATCGCGGCATACTGCTCGACAGTGATCGGATTACAGACACCTGATTAAGGCTGAGGCTTCCGTGCGACGAGATTTGCGAACGCCACGTTGGAGCAGTCGTACATGCCTTCACCAGGTAGAGGATACGACATATGGACAGGCGTTCGCCGATCTGCTAGGCTTGCTGACAATCTACAGTTTCTTGGACTGTGCGGCACCATCCGCCTATTTGACAGGATGCTTTCCACCTAGTTCATTATCTACCTTATCATCCCATCCCATCGAACAACCATCGTAATTCCCCGTCGTCGACAGCCCGTGATTATGGATCAATCCTAGACATTCAAGATCGTACTTCGCATGACGCACCCGTCATACAGCGAGCCTCGCGGAATCGCCACATCTCAGACAATGAATGCAAGCCATAATCCATGCAGCTCTACTATAAGCGAAGAGGTTGGTCTCGGTACCATTCCACCCCTCTTAGCTGATCTCAGGGACCGTACACGACCTCCTCGTCTGCATCATCGCTCGATTTATAGCCGGGCGCATCGATCAAATTCATGTCGTTGCCAGGCCGTCCACCGTCTGTAATGAGTGCTTGCTGCTTGCGTCCGAACATAGTAATATGCAACCTCGCCGCATCGAGCTCATCGGACAAGATCTTCGCCGGATGCGCAAGCCCTGCCATGTTGGCCTTCCTCTGCATTAAAGCCAGAGCCTCTACAGAATGTCGGACACTGAAGGTGCCCAAGCCCCAGCGGAGGCCGTCCAAAAACGCCATGCGGACCTTCATATGCTCTCGCAAATCAGGGAAGCTGCCTTTACAGAAGACGTAGGCAAAAATAGCAGACATCTGTTGGTACTCTTCCGGTGGCGTGTGCGCCTCGATGCGGAAGGCCCAACCCTGCACAATGTCCGCCGCCAGGTAGGAAATCTGCTCCATCGTTGACGCCGGCGTAAGGCCAAGAAGCTTCAGGAATCGTGCCATAGCATTGATCACAGCTGGTAGCAGTTCCACTCTCGCACTCTCAAGCTGAGGTCTGACCTTAGTGCGGAAGTCTTTCTTCCCAGCAAGAAGCTGGAAGTTGAGAGCGTGACCAACAGCTGCGACCTTTTTCGCGAGCTTGACCATGTCCTCTAGGCCGACGGTATGCACGATAGCTTTAGCAAGTATCTACACCGATGACGGTCAGCATGTGGGCCTATCTTCACGCTCTTGGTGGAAGTCACACCTTGTGATAAACCATGAACTTATGAGATCCAGGATACTTCCAGGCGCCCTTCTCAAAAGCTCGCTTTTCACACAGCTCCCTGTGCATGGGGAGTGCGTGGTATACATGTTTCCTCTCGAGTCTTGAGCCATTAATAACGGTAATCTGGCCATCTCTGCGGCCCTCCTTGGCTTCGTTCAATGCTAGGCGCCTAAAAGTAAGTGTCAGCCGTACACATAACATGAGCTCAAGCGAACCCCTAGCCGAGGAGACGTACAATATCCAGACTAGCAGATTGCTTGTGGACACGAAGGGCGTCTCGATCATGTTGCCTGTACCGAATTAGTAACACCCATGAGTGCAGAAGGGGATATCAGATCGCACGGTTAAGGTGCGCAAAGAACTCATGCCAAGGGAAGAATGTGCTGTTTACACCAGGGAGCGGCACCGGCGTAAAGTTAAGATTGCGGAAACGTCCTGCGATGAACTCGCCGTCCACAAGATTGCTCCGGCTCTTCTCGTCAGCTGTAAGTATGTTAGCCTTCCTCATTTTATAACAATATGAATGGGCAGCTTGCTCACTATAACGATACAGAATATCGGACCTGGGTGGATGTACTGCCGCCGCAGCTAGTGGTGTCAAAGGCTGCTGAGTCCTGCGCGCGATACTGAATCAGCTTGTACTCGACTACTGAGGAGATCGCGGACTATACTCTTGATACTCCTTTGGTGTCAGCCAGATCTGACGTCCCGCCGGTGTCTCGTACAGCACGGTGGCATGCTCCCGGCGTTGTTGAGGTAGTGGACGCAATGCTGGTGATGGGGTCTCCGGATCCGGGTTCTATGCGTTAGCGAGAGTGACGGCGATGGTTGCCTTCGTCTTTGCTCGTTTGAGATTTGGGTTCAGATCAGGTGCAGTGGCTTACTCGTGCTCGTATTCGACAGTATAGGTCTTGCGCTTCTGCGGTGTGACAGGAGCTGGCAATACAACCACAGCTTTTGTCGACTTCTTCGGGACTTCCGTTAGCATCTTGTTGTGATCAAGAGCAATGTGGTTCAGAGCCTCGTGATGAAGAGCTGCAGCAGTAGCTCTGATCCTGTCGAACATCTCGTCGCGATCACGTTGATGAGCGGCACCATGGCAGAACCATTATCGCCGACTGCCACGAGCGTGCCAGTTTATCCTTCTCGCGGAACTGGGCGTAAAGGGTATTCTTTTTGACCGCATCAGCAGTAATACCATACTCCGCCAGATAGTCCTCGAACATAGCGATCAACACTTCGTGGACACGTTTGGTATTGGCGTTGTACTCCTCGAACATAAGAGCCAAGGCAACCCTTAAATCGTCGGTCCATTTGATGCGCCCGGCACGAGGCTTATCCTCTATGCCCTGAGTTTTCGAACGCGGAGGCACGATACCGTTGGACGGGGGTGAGTCCTTTGCCTAGTGAGTGTGAAGAGTGTGAAGAGTGAAAGTCGAAGAAAGTGAAGCAAGCGGAGGCCGCTGTGGAAGGGAGCTACCATTCCGAACGTCGTGTAGTGACGTTGAGCACAAGATCCCCAAGAGCCCCACACTTGCGAGACCACGTGAGTCCATCGGGGAGCTGTACGAGGTAGGCAATACCAAGTCCGTTTGGGCAGTCATGCCAGCGGAGGCAGAGCACGAACGTCGTGCTGTGTGTGAGGGAACTCAATACGCTGTGGCGATACCACTCTACGGAGACGACACCGTTGATCAAGTCGGTAGTTGGGGAAGGGATGAAGTAAGAATGTTCGTTGACCTGAAGAATACCTGAGTAAACGTATCACATCACGCTGGGATATCACGTCCGCGCAAAATGCGCTCGATTCCTGTCCTCGCACTTCCTGGCCTTCCTGACGCCTTCCCTGGCTGCCTCCTGCCCACGAGACCCGCCGCAAACTGTCATAATACTCATACAACTCCATTCAACCCCTCATACCTCCGCCTCAACCTCCTCGACAATCTGTCCAGCAATCTCACCACCCGCCTCTCGCGAAGCCCACTCGCCCCACAGCCCCCTCTTCCCTCTCACACGAATAGGAAGGCCCAATTCCTTGGTATCCTGCTCGACCTTGATAGCATCCTTGGTACCCAGCACCAGCAACTCAAAGAACATCTTCGTGGCGTCCTGTCGACTTGTGGTGGCGACCGGACAGAGATCTGTGAACAAGGCCTCGGATTTCACACGCTTCGAGGGCGTGGGTGGCTCGGTAGCGGTGGCGGAGTGACCGGGTGCGAAGTGGTCGCGAAGGAGGTGCACGGCGTTCTTTGTGCCTAGTGAGACGAGGCCGGATTGTGATGGGTGTAGCAGTGGAGCTTCTGTGATGTCAAAGGGCGCAGCAGGCGAGCCAGCATATAGCTCGTCGTCGTCTTCTAGAGGCTGCTCCAGATCATCTGCTGGCGGGATCTGGAAGCCATCAGACATGAGAAGAGGACCTACGCCATCTGATCGCAGTGTAGGGTCTGCACCAGGATCCATCTGAAAACCCTCGTCTTCCTGCGGTAGCTCGATCCGTGGCGTCTCTTGCCTGTCGCTCGGGGTCTGCACATCAGCCACACCACTATCCCGCTTACGCTTCTTGTCGCCAGCCTTACGCACGATCTCCAGAGACAAGATACCACGGAGCTCAGGTGCCCAACCTTGCATCATACCATCACCCATAAGATTGCTGACGAATGTGCCGTTACGCTGCATCTCCATAAGTTGGAGCAGAACCGGGTCGCGAGGCAAGAAAGAAGGCGCCTTGGTAATAGCAGAGGTGTCCATCTGCTGCTGCTTGATCTGCTTGTTGTGCAGCTCGGTCTCGAGATCCTGGCGCATGACACGTCTTCGCTTAACACGCTGCGCGGCCTGCACGACCGTCGGATCGTCCTCCTCGGCTACGCCCTGACCAAGCTGGAAAGTTTGCTCCAGCTCGCGCTCGGCACTGCTGCGAAGGGATGACAGCGGAGAAGCACTATCACGTCGCCTCTCTGCAGCAGCAGCTATCCGCGCAAAGGCTGCATCGTTGGCTTGAGCAGTCGCATCGTCCATACCATCCATTGGCATATCATCCTCAATGGTCGGCATGAAGCCGTCGTCCATGGGAAGAGGTGGTAGAGAACTCTTACGCGCAATTGTGTCATCGAAGCCCATGTCAAGCCCAAGATCGTCGTCCTCCAAAAGTGTCGGCTCGTCACGCTTGGGTGTGGCAGCTCGACGACCAATTTCTATGCTGCGGTCCTCAATTCCAGGTGTCGATCGCACTGGAACATCGCCAAGTTCTAGCCCTAGATCCAGGTCAAGATCGATGTCCTCCAGGAATGCACTCTGCTTCTGCCGCCTTGATGGAGTCTGGCTTTCGGGAAGCAGCTGACTCGTGCCAAAGTCCAATAGAGTAGGATCCCGCCCTCCATGACGGCTGCCAGGTCCTCGTAGAAGTTCGTCCGGGTCGGGAAGAGGAGCAAAGAGCTCAAGGTCTGTGATGGTGTCGGGAAGTGGGAGAGCGTTATTGTTAGCACCATGGGCTTGGTGGAGGGGCATGTCATTGTCGACGTTGCCTGGTCGGAAGGCCTGAGTTTGTCAGCATCTCGTCTCTCGCGGGTACATATGAGCGAGCGTGACTCACCAACTTAATCTTGACCAGTGCCTCGTTGCAGTCGTCCAAGAGATATCGTGCCTTCCTGCTGTAGATGCGCACCACTCCCAACAACAGCTGTCCGCTCAATCTCAACGCAATGGGTGCCTGACCCGTCCCAATAATGTCTTTCACCTTCGTGTCAATCTTCTCGCTTAAGATATTCTGCTTGCTGAGCTTCCGTTCCAGGTTAGAAGCCAACCATACCCGCGCCAATGGGCCATTCTTGGCCAGCAGCGACTCGGAATAGAACATGATATGGGTTGTGACGCTGCCAAGATGTCCGCGACTTGCCCAGAGTTATGTGTTCGTCTGTGGAGTGAGGTTGAGGTTGTGGTCGCCGACGCGCCTGGCTGACTGCGCGTTGTTGTTGTGAAGTTGCCTGGAACGCGTCGCTGTTGCTTTTGTGGTGGCGATATCTACGTCGTGATACTAAACACGATGTACTCGCACGTCATCTAGCTGATGCGATGACCGAGGGCACCAAGAAGATGTTGCAATGATGTCCGGTGTCGCCGTCAATGTGCTGTCCTGGATGGAATGCGTTATAGCGAGTGACGCGCCTGAGCTAGCATTGATGTGGCTGGTAAGGAGGCTCGGCCCGCCAGGCTCGGTGGTCCCGATCAGAATTATGCGATCATACTGTACCATTAACACCTCCTCGTTCCACCATCTACTACATACCATTTCCCCTCGCACATCCTTACGGCATCTTGATGACTTCTTCAACGGAGTTACAGTCGTTCAATGGCCGATCGTACCAACCTTAATCAAGCAAGACGTTCCGTCATAGTCGTGCCATGAAGGAAAGCATTACAGAGCAAATCCGACTTTTGCAGGGCAATGCGGCTGAACGAGAAAGCGAGCATCGCCACCCGCCCAGAAGGGCACTGCAGACAATGACAATTACAGCACTGAACATGTCGATATAAGTCGCTGAAGCCCTGCGCAGTCATTGATGATCGTCAGCGTGGTCTAGGAGTCTTAGATTGAATCGATATGTCAGAGAAAAGTGACATGATGGATGGCATTGAGATCCCCTTTATGCGCACAAAACGGCATCATCGTAAGTCCCGTTTGGGATGTGTGCAATGCAAGCAGAGACGAGTGAAGGTAGCTATCAAGTCCACGTGGCGAACGAGAACGAGTTGGAGCATGTGCTGATTGTGGTTAGTGTGACGAAACAAGGCCAGCCTGCACATCATGCCGCATGCGCGGTGAAGCATGTATCTACGCCAATAAAGCGCCTGCGACGAGCCCAACGGCACAGGTACCTGCATTGGGGACGCCTAGCCCGGAAGTCCCCAGTCTCAGCCGCCAATCCTCCAGCTTTGCCAGCTCTCCACAGACTCCGTCTACGCCTCCTACGCTAGGTTCTATCGATGTGGGCGATACCGAGCTCGCGCGTGCATATCTCGGCGAGGTCGTACCTTCTTTCGCGGATGGCAACCAATGGATCTGGCAGGTCTTCGTTCCATCTATCGCCTACAGCTCCGGGACGGTCCGACATGGCATGCTTACCCTCGGCGCCGTGTACTTACACTTTGCAAGCGGAGAGTGTAACGACGACTACGCGACCAGATATATCGATGCCGCCAACGCGCACGGGAACCTATTTGTGCGGCAAAGCAGGCTTCAGCTGTCCAGAATGGACCCCACGGAGGTTGACTCGAACCTGGCATGCACTAGACTGCTCTGCATTATCGCCTTTGCATTCTTCCGACAACGTCGTCTGCATGGCATCCAGATCACCAGTTCTGATTCGTGGACCTGGGTACATCTGGTCCAAGGCATCAAGACCGTCCACGAATCGTTCTCCGCCATGGGACTGCAGGTAGACCCCATGCTCGAGCGAGACATAGTCCTCGACTCGGACAACACAAGCAACGTAGCCTGGAACCTAACGCAGCCGCTTACAGCCGTCAACGACTCGGCCCGTGTACTCGGCTACATCACGAGAACGAAGGAAGCACGATTCCTGGCCCTGCAAGTCGCGATAGACTCATACGCAAGCGCAACAAACGATTATGACCCGATCTGCTGCGTCCGAGCTCTGCGCCTCTTGCAAGAAGTGACAGATCTCATCTGCAACCTGCAGGGCCCCAGCCTCTTCCGCCTGCTCCTCGCATGGATCGGCGGCTTACCCCAAGACTTCGTCAGCATGGTGAAGAATTGTCATCCTCTTGCTCTAGCCATCTACGCTCACTGGCTGATGCTAGCCATCCTCGCCGAAGAACATTGGTGGGTAGGTGATATGGGCCGAAGCGGAATCCAGTCTGTGCTGTCTGTTGTGGCGGAGAAGGATGCCACATTATTACACCTGATGCGGTGTCCGAGTGAGGTGTTGAATGTGGCGGCTGGGTTGATAGACTAATGTGTGTGTAGAGTTGGCTCTTTTCCGTGGCTTGATACGATAGATATATGATAATAGTAATGTACAATGCCCGTTATACAATTGCTAGAGGCACCCCGCCCCCGGTTTAGACTATTCTGTTCCTTCTATGTTGTGGAGCCAATGAGCCTTGCCATGCCAGGTTGGAGAACATGTACGCAATGACACTTCACCTGTCCACGTAACAGATGTACCACCATACCCTGTTTACCAGAGCAGCATCATGCCCGACGAAGCCAGCTGATCGGTAGAAGCCGGGTTTTCGTCCAAGACATCAATAGAAATAGCAACAATCAGCAGAAGACCAGGCTGAGGACTGAGCCAACTCCTCGTATCGGCATGCAACAAGACCGAGAGTGTAATGGCCAAAACGTCAGAGGCGCAGGGGCAAATAAATGTGTCTATACTCAACCAATACACCTTGATAGTAGCCGGTCTATCAAAGCGAAACGATTCGCAAATCCACCTCCATGCTCCTCCGATGTACACGAACTCCGGCTCCACCACCAACGAACATCAGCGACGACCAGCTGACCCCACGACTCCCAACTTCAGAGCCCATGCTTCCCAAGAAAATCCAACATAACCCCATACCCCCCCGAGGCATTCCTATGCAGCGTCAACCCATGTCCCGCCCCCGGCTGCAAATAAACCTCCACCGCCTCCGCATGCGGATACACGACCTGCAGCACGGCGGGATCATAGTCATTTCTACAATCCCCATCACAAACCAACTCGTCAAACTCGGCCGCAAAAAACTCCACGGCACCCTTGAACTCCGCGCTCGGCCCAACATTGAGGAGGCCGCGTAGGGATAACCATTCCCCGGTCGCTAATGGGGATTTGACGCTTTCGGCGTAGGCTAACGCCTCGTCGGTGAAACCCGCTGGGTCGGTATCGTTGACGCGATGGAAGAATCCAGCTTGGATCCTGCCCACGTCAGAAGGAACGATATAGCCGCTTGGATAGCCGCCGAATAGAACAGGATTGTTTTCGGGGGCGAATGTGAAGCCCAGGGCTAGCGTGGCGGTTGGGAGGAGGTGGTCGGCGAAGAGTAAACCCGTCAAGATCGCTGCGTCGGAGAGATTGCCGTAGGATGTGAGTAGAGCGGTGGTGAGTTGGGAGCCGGAACTGTGACCGACGTGGACGACTTTGTCGAAAGCTGGGGTGGAAGGGAGAGTGGATCCGGAATGGAGGTGGGAGTTCAGGGTCCCGGCTCGAACGATCTCGGTCAAGACACGTAGGATTTGAAGTTCGTTGAGGCCGTGCCCGAGAGTATAGGCGTCGGGTTTGTCGGAGAGGCCGTTGCAAAGCCGGTCGTAGTTCAGGACTGTGTAGCCTGCGTTCAGAGCGGCTTGGACATAGGAGTATTCGGAGCGTTTGAGGTCGACGTCCCCTGTTGTTATATCGAGATCAGTGATGGGGAACTTGGAGCGGAGGTGGAAGTGGAGGGGCATGAGGTGGGCTGGTTGACTTACAGTACCGATGATCGAAAACAGCGCCATGCGTCAGAATCTGAATCGCGTCCTTCTTGACCACAGTCCCATTACCCGGAGGACTACACAGCTCAGCATAAATGGTGAAAGTCTCGGACACATTCGATGAGCTCGAGATACGAGAAGTGATATTCGGAGCGTCCCAGCGATCAAAGTCGACGGCGAAGTCCACGGCGTCGATGTTGTTATCGACGTGGATGATGTCGAGGTCGAGACTTGTTGCTTCGATGGGGATGTCGAGGAAGAAAGGATGACAGTCAGGGCGTGGAGCGTAGGCGTTGACGAGGGTGGTGGTCAGGGAGAGAGTGGCGAGGAGGAATAAGAAGGGAGCCATGGTTGTGCTTAGTCCCTGTTGAACTAGCCTGGTTGACGGTGGAATCGTGATGAGAGGGGAAGAAGGGCTCGATGAGCTTTGCGAGGGTGTGTTGAGAGCGAACGAGTGGAGATATGAGCGTACCGTACCTTATAAGCCTACAGTCGAGTGGGATCAGCGCTGGGCCAAGTCCTCGCAAAGCCATCGTGTTAGAGCGTTGAACGAGCGAACGGGTGGTATGTACCGTCTCATACCGTAAGCTCGTTTGTACTTACGTATGCGGCTCGCAAGATCCATTTTCACTACTCATTGCCACGTAATCGTGCAAACCGAAAAGTGCTCATACTTCGTTCAGCCTTCGTTCCACACTTTTCCAATATGCGAAAAGCATAGACCAAAAGAGACTTTGACACAGCCGCCATCATATCAGCGAGAGCAGCACCGCCACCAGGCAGCGACGATGATGGAATATATATCAAATCTGCAATAGAAGCACATTGCTGACCTGGTGTCATCCACATCTGCAGTGTCATCCTCAAGGACAAGAAATCCAGCCAAAGATCCATCCCACCGTCGACAGATACCGATCGTGCCCAAAACCAGGCTCGCGACAAGAGGATGGCGCAAATGACGAAAGAATGCGACAAAGCAGCCGCAACCCTAACAGCCTTCCTCGGCAAGATAACCCAACAAATCTATCCCGCACTCAGCCCATCATGAAAACTGACGTACCTCAAGACAGCAAGAAGATCCCCTCCGAAATCTAGCCCAAGCAGCCGGCCTAGCAATCTTCTCCGCCTTCCGCGCGGGGATGTACTTCGCCGGCACATCCGGCCACGGCGCCGTCCTCGCCCGGCTCGCAGACGGAACCTGGTCACCGCCCTCAGCCTTCACGGTCAAAAGCGGTGGAGTGGGATTGGTGTACGGCGTCGACGTCTTCGATTGTATTTACGTGCTGAACACCCCGGAAGCAGTGGAGGCTTATAAGTCCCCTGACTTTAACCTAGGAGGCCGAGCGGATTTCGCCTTGGGACCTTTAGGCGGGAAAGCGAATTCGGATGTTGGAAATGGGGAGACGGTGCTGGCGGTGTGGACGTATACTAGATCCAAGGGGATTTATGGCGGGGTGACGTTGGATGGGACGGTGGTCAAGGAGCAGAGGAAGGTGAACGCCGAGTTTTATGGTGGTGCTGTGACGGTGGCGGAGATTCTGAAGGGGGAGGTGGAGGTTAGGGAGGGGAAGGGAAGATGGCCTGAGGGGGCGCGGAAGTTGATGAGTTCGCTGGAGTCGCTCGGGTAGGAGGGAGGAAGCGGGACCAGCGGTGCTGCTTGTCGTCGCTCTCTGTCACCATAGTCTGTCGTCTGCTGGACTTCCAGGTCCTTCGGAAGGCGGCGGTAGCGGGAAGTACACTAATCGTCTTTGCGGCTCAACAGTCCGCACATCGGGATTGTGTCTACCATCTCTCCTACTCCCCGATGCTCCACATCCTGTGCGTCCGTGTTGCATCATCAGCGGGACCTGTCATGAGTCCTCGTTCCCCGACCCTCTCGCACAAGCACATACGACCATAGGTCAAACCAAGCAGAGTCTCCCGCGCGCGCTCTCCCCTCCTGCTCAAACAAAGACCAGCCTCTCAAAAGCCTCCGGACGATGCGGATACCTGGTCGCACACTCGCATTCCCGCATCAGCATGCACGCCTGCAACAGACAAGAGTAGCTCGTCACAGACCAATTCGATTCACGAACGATGAACGGGACGCCGGCACCATAAACGCCGGCCACCAGATCTCCAGGTAAGAGTTCCAACTTGGAGGGAGCTTCGCCTAATGCGGCGAGGTTGAGTTTATGATAGCACATGCCGAGATCACCTTCGTCCGTGATGAAGATACATAACTCGTTTAAGGAGCACGGCGGAGGACTTTCCTGATCATTGAAGAAGCTTAGCAGAGTGGCTAATTCAGTGGTCGAGCACTGTAGCCTCTGCTGTATGCGAAGCTGGTTTAGATCGCAGCTCTTGGCGCTTGGATGGGTTGAGGTGAGATAATCAGCGACATGGACGAATGAGTGAATCGCACCAAGCGTCAGAACTGAGGCACTCATGGTTCGTGGTCGGACCGCGAAAGAGGCTTCGAGACCACTGTGATCTCCAGGATCGACGATTGTGTGGCCGGCACAAACCGTGAGGCCAGCGTGAAATGGCAGATTCGCACCTATCGAGTCCGTGTCACAGCTAAGTTGGTTGCTCGTGTCGCTGCCCCAGTCTAAGGGTGCATGGGCCGAGTTCTCCCAGGGCTGGCCCCTGCCAAGCGCAGCATTCCCAGCCAATGAAAACCAAGACGGGTTCTGCTGCGTCGGACGGCGGGAGAAGTCAATGATCCACGAAGCGTCGGGCAGGAGCAATCTTTGCCAGCCTAGGAGGATGTCGAGGGGATACTCCCTCTGCCACGATCTCGACTCGATCAAGAGTTGGGTGGCGATTCCATATATATCGATAATCGGGGCAGTGTAGTCGGGCACCAGCATTTCCTGGGCCGTGGCATCCACCAGTCCGATGATGGCATATATGGCGTCCCGAGGGTCCGAGGCATGCAGATTCTTCGTCGACTCGAGGAGGTTAACCAAGCCACTGCCTACTGTCTCCTGACGTAAAGCGGCTCGGATATAATGAATGCCTTCGAATGCCCTAATCTCATCTACCACGGCCATGTCGGCGTCGTCTCGCTTCAGACGCATGTTAAAATCCATACAGTGCCGTATCAAGGGCTGCCAGGGCAGATACAGATTACCCAACAACACCACGGGCTCATGCTTAGCGACCGCGGCCTCCTGCACGACCCAGCGTCGTCGCCACCAGCTCCTGGATTCCCTGTTTGTCATGTGCTTGACAACTTCGTGGTTGAGATCGCCGACTATAGCACCGGTAAGGTCCCCGGCACATGGCGGGGGCATACCCAGCCATATCAAGACATCGCTAGCATTCTCATAGATCCTCTTCATGAGCTTGACCTGACTGCTCCGTTCTTGCAGGTCCGATTGGTTGATACAGATGGCGTCGATCCAGCAGTGGCGTTTCCGATCGGGGTGGCGAAGGTTACGCAAGCAGTAATGCAGATCTTTGGAGATTTGAAAGGTGCCATGCGAGGCGAGGTGAATTGATTCAAGCTCGGTCTGCTCGCCCCATGAGTAGGATAGAGCTACGTAATCCGGGATAGCTGGCCATGCACACGTGAGGAGACGTCCGCTTATAGTGAAGTCATCGATTGTGTATGTTGGACAGCTTCGGCCGGAATCGAGTTCCAACAAGCGAATCTGATAGCCTTGTTCCGGTTCAGCATCTAGCAGCCGGTCATGATATGCAGTCGAGTTCTGTTCCGCAAGTGTAGGCATAATGCCGAACTATTGTAGCTATCAAACAACGGCTCCATTTAGCACTGATACAGTTATCATGTGCCGGCTACGTGTACATAGATAGCATCGAGTACTCGTTGACGTTCTCCTCGTCCAGCTCGTGACGATGACTTTGACTGCACGTTGAAGGCCTGAGCATGGCACCGGAACATGCTGCAAGACATAAAGTCATCAAACCCGGGTGGTCACATAGATCAGGTTCCGGTAACGGCAGCAACAAGAAGCATGAAGTCGAAGGGCATAGAGGTCAAACGCAAGATGCGGGTAGACTACCTTGGCATCATGTGCCGTCGCGTGGTGTCGGGTCTCGGCAGGGAAGGGGCGTTTCTGGGGTTTGGCCAGAAGTGGAAGTCAGGTTTGAGACGACGTTTCTCATGTATGAAACACCTTCGGCCTACCAGCCCACCATATGTCGAGCTCAGCGATCATATGAGCCTCCAAACACCTCAGAACCCCTTCGCGAGTCACTCGTTCGACCAATGTCAACGCCCTAGCTCAAAAAGGCAATAGCGACCACTCCCCAGCATTGCCCAGCCTTGATGGCCGCGAAACAATGTTCCGAGCAGAGACTCCCTCCTCTCTACCACTGTACAACGCACCACCACCAAAATCACGCGATTCCTCCAACACCCTCCAACCGCCCGCGGACCCTCACCCGCGACACCACCAGCGGACGAACAGCCGTGTCAAGCTCCCAGGCCAGCAATCGATAACATCCGAACACGCGCAACTCAGCGCCGCGGAAGTCGCGACCCGCCACTCCACCTCATTATCCCACGGCCTCCACCCGGCAGACGCCAGCACGCGTCTGCACGTGCAAGGACCCAATGAGCTTCCCCATGAAGAACCCGAGCCGCTATGGAAACGCTTCCTCAAGCAGTTCCAGGAAACGCTCATCTTGCTCCTGCTAGGCAGCGCGGGTATCTCAGCCATAATGGGAAACTACGAGGATGCCATTTCGATTGCTATAGCAGTCACGATCGTCGTCACCGTCGCCTTTGTGCAAGAGTACAGGAGTGAGAAGAGTTTGGAGGCGCTGAATCAGCTGGTGCCGCATAGTGCGCACGTGATAAGAAGTACAGCAGGCGGGCATGATCGGGAAGGAGCGACGGGAGAGCAGAATGGTGCGGTCAAGGGCCCAGGGACAGCTGGCTTGGAGAAGGCGGAGAAGGCAAGTACGACTGTGAGTGCGTCGCAATTGGTCACGGGGGATCTGGTGCTGTTTCATACTGGCGATCGCATACCGGCGGATATCCGCGTCACGCATGCGGCGGATCTGAGTATAGATGAGAGTAATTTGACGGGCGAAAACGAGCCGGTGGTGAAAAGACCAGATGTGTTGGATGCATCGACACAGGCGAATGGGAGTATACAGTCACCATATGCAGCCGGACGAGGCGGAGCGTTGCGATTAAACGATCAGCATAATATTGCTTTCATGGGGACGTTGGTCAGGACGGGATACGGGCAGGGCATTGTCGTTGGGACAGGAGGAGACACCGAATTCGGTGCTATCAGTGCCTCGTTACAGGAGATTGAAAGTCCCAGGACACCACTCCAACTCTCCATGGATCGACTGGGGAAAGATCTGAGCTACATGTCGTTCGGAGTGATTGCACTAATCATGCTAGTCGGACTATGGCGCGGTCTCAAATTCCTCGAGCTCTTCCAAATCGGCGTCTCGCTGGCCGTGGCTGCTATACCGGAAGGTCTGCCCATCATCGTGACCGTTACTCTGGCACTAGGTGTCCTACGCATGAGCAAACGCAACGCCATCGTCCGCCGACTACCCTCCGTCGAAACACTAGGTTCCGTGAATGTAGTCTGCTCGGACAAAACAGGCACGCTGACGGTAAACCACATGACGGTAACCAAAATGTGGTCCTTCGGCGCCCTGGAGCCGACGGAAGTGAGTAAGGTGCGGAAATCACATGCTCATGGCGCTGGCACTCAAGCCATCTTACGCTCGTCGAACATTGTGAATAATGCCCGTCTGGACTCCCACAGCCAAAGCCATGTGTCCGCCGCCAATGCCGCAGTGCTAGCGAGCACAGGAGGCGCGGACGAGCCTTCGACGATGAAAAGTAGATGGGCGGGCCAGCCGACGGATGTAGCGTGTTTAGATCTCCTTGACGCCTTCCACGAGGATGATGTTCGGGAACGTCTAGGTGACAGGAAGCACGTAATCCCGTTCTCCAGCGAACGGAAATGGATGGGTGTGGTGGTTGGTGGGCAGGATGGAAGCGATACAGCCTACATCAAGGGCGCGATGGAGCGGGTATTGGAGAGATGCGACACCTACCTCTCTGGCAACGAAGGCACAAAACCATTAACGGAAGAGCATCAACAACAAGTCGACAAAGCCGCCCGGGCGATGGCAGAGGAGGGTCTACGTGTCCTGAGCTTCGCATCCGGCACCGTAAAACTCCCCTTGAGATCCAAAAGCGGCACCTCGACACCCATGGCTAGCGAGAAGACGAATGCAGACAGCGATGTGTATCAAGGACTTTGCTTCTCCGGCCTAGTAGGAATGTCCGACCCACCCCGCAAAGGAGTAGACCGCTCAATCCGGCGTCTCATGGCCGGCGGCGTAAAAGTAATAATGATAACAGGGGATGCCGAAACGACCGCCATCGCCATCGCAAAAAAACTCGGCATGCCGATAAACCTCTCCTCCGCACTCGGCTCCCCGATCCTACGAGGCGACCAATTAGACCATATGAGCGAAGCCGACTTAGCAGCAACAATGGACCGGGTTTCAATATTTGCGAGGACGAGCCCGGAGCATAAAATGAAAATTATCCGCGCGCTACAAAGTAGAGGCGACGTCGTAGCCATGACCGGCGACGGCGTGAACGACGCTCCCGCCCTCAAGAAAGCCGACATAGGCATCTCAATGGGCAAACTAGGTACTGACGTCGCGAAAGAAGCCGCGGACATGATTCTCACAGATGATGATTTCAGCACGATTTTGTCCGCGATCGAGGAAGGCAAAGGGATTTTCTACAATATTCAGAATTTCTTGACGTTTCAGCTCAGTACGAGTGTGGCGGCTCTTGGGTTGGTGATGTTGAGTACGCTTGGTGGGTGGCGGAATCCGTTGAATGCTATGCAGATACTTTGGATCAGTGAGTCCCACCCTCCTCATGCCCAACACCGAAGCCACAGAATGCTAATAGGGAAACCATCACAGACATCCTCATGGACGGTCCCCCCGCCCAATCCCTCGGCGTCGAACCCGTGGACCCTACCCTCCTGTCCCTCCCGCCCCGGTCCCGGCACGCTCGCGTCCTCACCCCGCGCCTAATCCGTCGGGTCCTGCAATCCGGTCTCATAATCCTGCTCGGAACGCTCTTCACCTACGTTTCCAACCTCACGGCTTCAGACTTGGAGGCGCATAGTGTAAGCGATCGGGACACCACCCTAACCTTCACGCAATTCGTGCTGTTTGATATGTTCAACGCACTCACCAGCCGCTCTGCCTCGAAATCTGTACTCCGGGGCGAACTGCCGTTGTGGGGTAAGGGGGGCAATAAAATGTTTAATTATGCTGTTGCGGGGAGTTTGGTGGGGCAGGGGATGGTGATATATTTCCCGCCATTGCAGAGGGTGTTTCAGACCGAGGCGTTGTATTTGGGGGATTTGGTCAGGTTGGTGGCGATGGCTAGTCTTGTGCTGTGGGTGGATGAGGGGAGGAAGTGGTGGGAACGGAGGAGGGGTGGAAGTGGGGTGATGGGGGGGTATAGTCGGAGAGTGTAGAGTATTATTTCGTTATTGTATATCTATGAGCATCAAGCTGAGTGGTCCCGTTGGTCTGGTCTGGTCTGGTCTGGTCTGGTCTGGTCACGGTGAGGATGTAAAATAACCTACCTTAGATGGGAAGTATTGTCGCAAACCTCCTTAAGCGGTTAGCGTGCGGCGCGCGTGAGTGAAGCTCGAAACGCGGACCTCACATCCACATCCAGTGGCAGACCCTCAATGCAGTAACAGTAAGAGCTCGACAGTCTTATGTTGCTTCTACAGCCATGTTGTCACAGATTCAAACCAGCTATCAGCGTGTGCAGCAGAGTCTCCAACGCCTGACCGACTCGATCGCGGCGTACAATCCCTCCACCATAGCAGCCGATGAGCTAGTCGCTGCAGATGATACTCTAAGTGAAGACTTGCGAACATGTAAGAAACCAGGTAGGCAGAGTAAGAAGCGAGACAAAGGTCTAAGATGGTAAACACAGTACACCACCACCAAAGCAACGTCCACCGCATAACCGACCTGAAACGCCGAGCCGAAACTAACGACGAGAAGATAAAGACACATTTCCGTGCCGTGGCACAGCTACGGAAGGATCTGACGTCTATACCGACAATAGAGAGTAACACCTCCTCGCGCGAGGATATCAGTGTGGATGACTTGCTGGCGTATGCACGGTATATTAGTCCCACGACCGTACCGCCTACGTTCCGTCCGAGGCGAGATGCTCACAGTTATATGAAGGGTGTGGAAGAGGGGAAGGGGGAGGATGGGCAGATGAGGAATGGTGTCACCACCCCACCACCACCACCACCAGCAACAGCAACAGCAACAGCACAAGATCACACGAACCCCGAGACCACAGCGACAGCGACAGCGACCACAGTGACACCACACATCAAAGAATCCACCATCAGCCTCCAGACCCTCACCGACCCTGAGAAACAATGGCTAAACCCAACAGCAACCCTCGACTTCACTCCCTGGCCTTCCCACATCCTCATCGGCAATGGCGCCTTAGGCTCAATCCAAAAGATGGTGGAAAGCGGGAAAGATCCGGCGAGTGTGCTGAGTGCGGAGGAGCAGGCTGAAGTCGATAAGGTGAGGAAGGAGGAGGAGGAAAAAGAAAGGAAAGAGGAGGAAGAGAGGGCGAGGAGGAGGGCGGTAATGTTTGATGCTGCTGGTAGTGCAGGTGGCGGTTTGGGAAGGGGGAGGAGGGAGGCGGAAGACGATGTTTTTGATCCTGATGCTTAGGATGATAATGGACTGGATTGGCAAAAGAGGTGGGTTGGTGGTTCTTTGGTACGGGAGTGGGATAGGCTACGAGCATCAGGGACAGGGAATCGATTGCGCTTGCAGACATCCACCCACCCGAGCTACCAGCAGGAACATCCTTCGTCGCAAGACTGACAACGGACTGTACGAACATTTCCACATCATCGGGCTGCCTCACTACCATATCCCCCCATTCCACCCCCCTGCAGAGACCACTGCAAGCACACTCTACACATGCTCCAACACGGTCCGTGTGATCCTTTTCCACAACACCGCCTCCCCTTCCCCCGGCCCAAACTCCCTAACATTCATCATCCACCGCCCGAACCTTACCTCCATTCCCACACTAGCAGCATGGCTGCAACCACTAGCATGCTCGAGCCACGAAGCCCGCGTCATGAACAAGATCTGGATATTGACCCAGATGCGATCGGGTACGTCTCCGATTTCATCAGGCCGCTCTGGTTCGCAATTGGGACAGAGGTCGTGGTCGTCCCAGGGGAGGAATTGGTAGTAGGACCATGTTTTGATAATGGCGGGGAAGCGGAGAGTGATGGAGGGTTTGATCTTGTCGCCGACGATGTTGCAGCAGCCGACTCCTGTGAATTGGAGATCCGGTTCCGCTGGGTCGAAGGAGCGGAGGTACTCTTCCAGATCACGCTGGACGTTGCGAGCATCCTCCGCACGAGCCTGTTCGCGTCTCTGGATCGCGTACTCAGCCCACGCATCTTCGCCTGCGGACAGTGGCGGCCTTGCTACGAAAACGACCTCGTCGTCAGATCCAGACTCGTCTTCGTCATCTAAATCCTCTGACCCACATAGCTGGCCACGCAACTCGTCAATCGATTCGGTACGAGACGTGTTGATTGTAACACTGCGGAATTTCGGGAACTCGTCACTATTGAGTTGATGCACGAGCTCGCCAAGGTCGATATCGCGGCGAGGCAAGCAAGGAAATTTCTTGAGGCCGGCCAGAGGATCATGCACAACGGCGCGGCAGACGAGAGACGTGTCGCACATAAGCCCTCCTTGGCCGTTACCGCAAAAGTCCGCATGGCTGAGGACAATGACGTTCTGCTTGTAAAAAGTGGCGAGCGCTTCAGTAGAGATCTGCTTGCTGACGAACAGGAGAGCAGTGGCGTTGGTCTTCCGATGGAGCTTTGACCCGTCCTGGCCCGCGAGCTCATGGAAGGGTCTTGTTTTGTAAGAGTTCTTGTTCTTACGCACTCTTTTGAGTGGATGCTTGAATTGCAGCAGGTACTCGAAGATCTGGAGACAGGTCTCGATGGCGAGGTCGGTGATGCCGGGCATGCTGTCTAGCCGTGTAATTCAGAGCGAGGTGTATGTTTTTTGTGTGTGTGTGGCTGCGATGACCAGAAAGGAATGGGAAGAAGTTTGAGTTGAAGTGTTGATGATGATGATTATCTTATTATGTCCAGGCTTTGCAGTGACGTCGAGCGCGCTATGTTCGTGTCTTGGACGTTTCTGAGGAAGGAGCGAAAGAGGAGCTTCTTTCACGTGGCAAACACAAACAGTGGGACCTGCCAAACGATGCATTCACTTTTTGTCCAAAGCATTTCCATCATTTAGGAGCCCTCAGATGCGAAGTCGAAGGGCATACAATATCGACAATGCTTCGACGAGAAATTAATGCTCTCATAATTTTGACCTTAACGTCCTTATTATAGACTGGTCCGTAAGGAAGGGAGTTTCAAGGAAGGATCGTGTTCGCTGGACGCGTACGACAGAGGTCCTCGTGCGGGAGTGCGAAGACGTTGATCTTGTAGAAAGCTGCAACCGCTTCGTCAGACACCTCTCGGCTGGTCTGTATGAGAGATGTGGGGCTTGAAGGCAACAGTGGCCCCCGCAGCCGCGACACTGAGGCACATCTAGGAGAATGTAGTCTTGTGTGCCACTGTAGTACGTAACCATAGATCTTGAGTCGTATCTCCACTGGCAGTATGTCGAGCGTGCCCGACATCTTGTAAGTAGTTCACAAAAGCTGGATAGTGTATGTGTCTATTCGTGATGGGGTTTTGTGATCGAGGAAGTCCAGATATGCATGATCCCGTTCCTTCTTGTTACTACCTTTCACATGTGAGCAATCAAGAATCGCTAATATCATGCACTCACGGTCAATAGTCATGTCGAAATATATGCACACGATTAAGTCAAGTATGTGCGGACTGACTTACGTCTCTATACGTACATCGCCATACTGGAGTTCTGCCCGCTAGGCACAGCATAAGGACCATATCCCGGCCGTGGGAAGTTAGGAGTACCATCGTCATTCCACGTGAACTTCTGCGCCCTGATATTGCGAGCGGACCAACCAGTATACGGATCCTCCATGCCATGATACACGATCCAGTTCTCGCTGCTGTCAGGAGAGGTAGTGAAGCCTGCAGAACTTGTCAGTACCAACCTCGTATCACGCAAGGAGGTTGAACATACTGGCATGTCCAACACCATAAGCACTAGTCAAAGCATTCTGATAAAACACACACCCCTCATTATTCTTCCTCCAGTCCTGATTATTCATCGGATCATCCCCGACAAGCTCCAGCTGACCAAGACAATAATTCCTATTATCACTCCTAGCAGCACTATAGATAATGAACTGCTGTCCAGTCTTCGGATTCGTCAACTGCTCCGGACCCTCATTACTGCTCAACCGCACATTCTGCATGCGTCCATACGGCGTCTTCTCCCAATCATTGCTCGGCACGGACAAGATCTGTCGTTCCGTGACGTTACTCTCAACAGTCCAGGGATCGCTCATCTTGGTGATGCAGAGGTTGGATGGCCAGCTTTCGTAGGCACTGAACCAGCAGCTGTAGACGTGGTATAAGCCGGAAGTATGCTGGAAGTAGGTGCCGTCGATCGCGAATTGGTCGTATGTGTCGAGTTGGGATTTGAGGGTGTAGTTGCTCGTCCAGGGGTCTGAAGTAGAGCCTTCGAGGACGTACATTCGGTGGTTGACTGCTGGACAGCTGAAGGTGCAGAGCATGTCTGTCGAGGGGGGTGGAGAGTCGTAGTTTGGGTCAGCGGTGAAGATGATGTACCATTTGCCTGCTATGTTGTGCAACTCGGGTGCCCTGAGTAGCATTAATAGTTGCCGTTTAAGCAGTATGAATAATTGTCTTACCAAAGATCAGTAGAGTAGTTCTGGCCGGGTGGCGGGTCGAAAGCAAGCTTGACATCGGCAGTCGTCCAATCAGTCAAGCTGGGAGATCGCAGGATGGTGATGTTCGTGGCCGTGGTGTACGTCAAGTAGTAATAGCCATCGTAGCGAGTCATCCACGGATCAGCGCCAGTAGGCAAGATTGGATTGGTGTAAGTGGCAGAAGTATTAGATTGTGCCAGGCATGAAGTGAGGAAGCTCACCAGCACGGCGAGGGCAGAAGCGATCAGCATGTTGAGAGTAGCACAGAGGACTGTAGGATAAAGGAACTGCGTGGAGTAATAAGGGAAATACCCAACTTATACTCCTTCGTTTGGGCCGTCAAGACAAGGCATTTAGATCCTTCCACCATCCTGCCAGCCTCGCAAGCGTACCTGTGGTGAGGAGAAAGGTTTGTGTCCCCGCAGTTAGCAGACTCGTGGCGGGAGCATGGTGACGAGGTGATCGACATCTGCTCAGGAACACCCGAGGTGGAGGAGGAGTATACCTGCTTTAGGAAGGTACGCCGGTGAACACGCCAAACTTTCACATGCCAGTGAGCTTCTGTGGCATCCACAAGACTTGAAACGAACATGAAGATGATATAATCTGAGGACGACTTGGTAAGGTGCGAAGAGAATCACGATGAACAACAACCAGTTTCGTAAGCTGGTGCTGGACAAGCCGGCTCGTAACGATGACGGGTCGCCTTCCGCAAGCAGTGGTGCAACTCCATCATCGTTCGGCGGGAAGCGTTCAAGCTTCATGACGCCGCGAACGATACAAGGAGGTGGTGGCGTGGACTTTGCACGGCAAGTACGAGAACGGAATGCTGCGCTGCAGCCCACGAAGAAGTTCAGATCGAGTGCTCCCAAGGGCGCGAAATTGGGCAAAGCCTACACAGATCGAGCACGAGCTCGTGAAGAAGCAGACGACGTCGAGGATGACAAAGCGTCTCGTATCCAGGCTCTGGAAGAGCAGATGAAGCTAGAACAGATATCGAAGGAGACCTTTGAGCAGTTGCGTGACCAGATCGCTGGTGGAGATGTCTCGAGCACACATCTGGTTAAAGGCTTGGACAGACGGCTGCTGGAACGGGTACGGCGTGGTGAGGATGTACTGGGCGTGAATGGAGGTGAGAGCGCCGTCGAGCCTTCACCTGATGTGGACGAGGAGCTAGACAAGCTGGGCGAGAAGGAAGTGGAAGCTGTCAAGAAGGAGCAGGCTGAGAAGAAAGGTTCCATGGCACCTCCATCACAAGTCGCGGGCAAGAAGCGGAGTAGAGACGAGATCATGGCAGAGCTCAAGGCGCAAAGGCAGGCTACTATGCAAGCTAAAGCCGGCCCTATGCTTGACAGTCGCTGGCGTAAAGTGAGTGAGCAGCAGAAAAGCAGGATCGAAATCGATCACAAGGGCAGGGAGGTATTGATCACAGTGGATGAAGATGGGGTGGTTAAGCGGAAAGTACGAAAAATGCCGACCCAGACAGAAGCGGAGGCAGAGGCAGACCGGATCGAGATGCCTGATGCTAGCAAGCCAATACTTGGAGCAGATACGGCAATACCGGCATCTTTACAGGTCACTGCGCCGGTCGAAGACGAAGACGATGACATTTTCGAAGGCGCGGGTGTAGAGTACAATCCTCTTGGTGACGATGCTGATGGAGATGAAGAGGACGACGACTCGGAAGCAGATCAGCCGCAGCCAACAACGCAAATCCGGAAAGAGCTTTCAGAAGCAGCGCAGCCGCATACACGAGAAGAAGATGAAGCAAGCGATGAAGAGGATTCAGACGAAGATGTACCTTCTACCGCAACGACCGCAGCACCGGCTCGACGCAACTACTTCGGCGATACCTTGAATGCGGACGACAAGCCCTCAGATCACTTCGCAGGCATACGGAACGTCCTCAAGAAAGCGGCTCAGCTCGACTCAACCAACCGTGGAGCAGGGGAAGACGATGAACGCGACGGCGAAAGCGAAGAAGCATGGCAAGCTCGTCTCAAACGTCGTGCACAAATGTTGGCCAACCAAGACCGTGATCTCGAGGACATGGACATGGGCTTCGGCGGCAGCAGACTCGAAGACGAGGTTGATGGCGACGAGGACAGTTCGAAGAAGATCCGTCTATCCGAGTGGAAAGGTGGCAAAGTTGGCGAGGAAGACGGTGATGATGGCAAAGCCGGCGATAGTGAGAAAAGGGAGAAGAAGAAGCGAAAGCCGAAGAAGAGGAAGGGCGACGTCAATAATGCTGCTGATATTATGAGAGTGATTGAAGGGAGAAAAGGTGGGGCGAAGTGAGGATAGTCACGTGACTTAAGACATCAGCGCCACTCTCGACTCCCAGCTAGAACAAACATACTAGGGCCGTTGTCTCGGCACACTAATGCCTCGATCTTGCCAGCCCATCGCACTGTCTCGTAGAAGCGCCTGCGCTTGTCTGTGGAACCTTCTTAACCAATCAGCTCCGCTAAGCGCCCAGACGTTCGGCGGCTCTTTCAAGCATATCATTTATGCTCAACTCCCGCACCTTCTCTGCCAATACAATGGCGTTTATACACGCGAAGGAGTATACCTGTCTCAAGATGTCACCAGATATGGTTCTGACCGCATCGGTCCGCAATCCGCCGTCGCACAATATGTTTGGGCCTGTGCGCGAGTGGCGGCTCCATGCAGGATATGGCTTGGCAATTGTGCCGTATAGCTGCAGATGATAACGATACACTGTTGATATATCTAGGCCTGTGCGATGATGGCTTGAAGTGATACATTTAAACAGGCTGTGAGATCGCAATTTGCACACAAGACTGTCGTTGCTTTCACCTTCTCCTCTTGACTCCCGGCTGGTCCGGTAGAGCCACCCTTCTTACAGAGCCTTCTGCCTACCATGGCTACAACGATGCCCCATACTGCCTTCGAGCTTTTCAACACTGGAGCCATTCCATCTGAAGCACTTCAGCCAACGACGAGCGCGACCATAACGAGCCCAACGATCACGGCCACATTCGTCACCAAGATCGTTTCAGCAGCATCGAGTTCATCGACCGCGACGCCGACGCTGACGCTGACAACTCCAGCAACTCTCAACAATGGGACAACCTGCATCACACTCCAACCAGGCGAATTGGTCATCTCACGGACGAGCTTCATCATCGCACTTACCCTCTGCATCTTCATCACCACAGCTTCGGTCATCACTCTTCTTGCCTTCGCCTACCGCAATTATCGACGTCGACGAGAAACTCAACAAGCTCGAGCCTGGGGCAGAAGATCCGTCTACAACCGCCGCATGTCTGTCGTACGCAAAGAAGTGGACTACTTCTACAGCACAAAGCACGGCGGCTGTTTAGTCCATGTTCCCGAGAATCCCGAGTTAGGTAGCGATGAAGTGGTGGAGATCGGAGATCGGGAGCGGCTGTTTGAGGTCCCTGCCGAGCCTGCGAAAGCTGCGCTCGTCGGGAGCCTTGACAGGGCGAAAAGGAAGAGCCGATTGAAGAGCTTGTTCTTCGATGAGAAAGTTGGTGTGTGGTTGTCCAAGAGCTGATGGAAGGCAGTCGGCCGAAGCTGTTCGCTGTACAATATCAGTCCGTCTAGCTCGTTGCCACTTACTAAGGACTAGGCCAGCATCGTCATCAGCACCCTCCCGCAGTTTCCGGACATCTTGTCAATATCTTATCTAATGTTAACCACATCCACACAAGTAACCATCTCTCACCTCATCGTGGAGGTCCATAGATCCTCCTTACCTTCGCTTGATGCTCGTACACCCCAGGGCTGCCCACAATCTCCTCCTCACGAGCCTGATACACAATCGGCCTTCGCACCTCTTGCACACCAGATCGGCGCAGAGTAGCATTTTCCAGTCCTCCAGAAGCGATACTAGCGAATAGCACTAGTACGTGACCCTCGTACAAGTCTTCAAAGTGCAGCTCATCATAGCAGCTATTGGCACCCGTGCAGTACTTGAAGATGGGCTGGAAATTGCCGGATCCTGCTACGAGAAGCAGGCGTTCAAGCTTTAAAACCCGCAGAGCAGGCCTGCGGACAAGGACAAGGAGGTCGTCGGCCCTAGCCGTGAAGCCCCGCAAAGTCAGGCTTTTCAGCTTGGATAGTGGAGCTTGCTCAGCTATACGCTGCAAATACCTCTCTTTGTGCAGAGAGACCGGGACGCGGGTCTTTAGCGAGTATTGATGTAGGTCCAGGTCCTCCAGCGCCGGGCAGGAGATTAGCAAGTGAATGAGCCCGCTGTAATTGCTCTCGTCCGCTGCCTCCTTGGCTAGCTCACTGTGAGGCCGACCACCTTTATCGTCAACTTCCCAATCGATCTCGTCTGCTGAGTCCCCTGTCCGCTCGGCCTCCCGGTGGGATTCCTCGATCAGTCGATCAGAGAGACTGATGCTCAGCGACTTCAGAGTGGACAATGATGGCATGCCGTCCGTGGGAATCATTGCGCTCATCTCATTGCAGGCGAGACTGCATCGCTCCTGCTTCGTGAAGACATCCAACGCACTGATCTGTAAGCCGCTCTGCAACAGTGCTCGCATGCACGTCCAGTACGTGCTGGCCGTGCGCTCCCAGATCATTTTCCAGCTTCCCTGCGCAGAGGGCTGGAGTCGCTGCTTAGAGTCTGTGCGGTATGCTACGATGTTCAGAGAGATGGACAGTAGCGTTCCACTCCTGACAGAGCAAGTCGCGAGATTACGGAAAGCTTCAGCCAAGGTCAGTATATCGAGGCCGGCACTATGCATCTCCTCAAACTCTTCTTGTCGCTGTGTCAGTACATCCAGATGCCTTTCTGCGTCTTTGCGGACATCGCTTTCCAGACCTTCGTCCCTGGTGGTGGCAGCTAGGCGCAGAGTATTGTTAACGATACCCGTCAATTTCAATCTCTGCAGCCTAGAGGAGATAAGGCCTGACTGTGTTGCCTTGGCAAAGCGTTGGAGCCCGTCGGGCGTGATAAAGACCTCTTTGCATTGGAGGAAGGACTCAAAGTGATCCTGGGTAGCCTTGCAAGCTAGTTCGCGGCATGTTTGGCGAAGGTGGCAGACAGCTTCCAGGTCGAGGACGCGGCAGATGTTTTCGATGATTTCTGGCGGACAGTCCTCGAGGGCGGGAGACATGTTGTAAGGTGGCTGTCTCGCACGAACTAGTAAGTCGACATGTATCACACTGGGAATCAGACGACGATCATGGTGCATAGATCATCTTCGGCATAAGAGCAGAGCACGAGAGTCTTTGTCCCGTCAATGCTTCAGTGCAGAAGTATTGCGTCGGCGTATGTGGAGGCTCCATTGTGAAAGCGGCACAGCACCAATATGCAATATACAGGTGTCAGTGTTTCAGGTGTATGAGGCTTCGTGAAGTCCTGCAGTTGGTGTGCTATTTTAGTATTCATGTTCCGTATTAAGCTACTGGCGCGTCCACACTAAGTGTGGAGCCCTTCGTGATATAAAGAGCAGACAAGCAAGATCCTCCTTCCTGCGCTCTAAGCGCGACAAAACTGTAAATACTCTTCCTCGAATGGCTTTGATGCGTGGCAGCAATGAGTCGTCCTGCGAGCAATCCGCACAGTGGCTTCCAAACACCATGAAGCCGTGCGATGTAAGCTGGCAGCGATAGGCAATCGAAGCTCTTCATCTCTGCGGCATCGCCTCACTGACTCACCCGCCACTCTCGTCTAGTCTCGTCTGGTCAATGGGGACCAAAAACAAAACATACAGCAGCAGGCATTCGCCAGTCGTCACCGACCTCACTACTACTCTACCGGTCCGCGGCTTAAAACAGGAGAGCGGACGGTATAAGACTTCTTAACGACGAATCTCGTACTTCTAGAGTGCTAGAAGCTAGGTTATTACCTAGTCATATATTATATATTTATATAACTTATACTTTAGGCAAATTTCCTAATTCCTAGTTCTAGACTTCTACCTTACTCTATATATATATCTATAAACTTATTAATATAAGTATAAATAGGTAAATTTATACTATAAGATAAAACATTCTAGAAGCTAGACTATTTGTACTTTATAGATTATAGAATAATAGGATCTAGGTAGATAATAAGATTAATCTTAATAATCTATTTTATTCTTCTCTAACCTTAAACCTTACTAAAGTATATTTCTATAATAGAGCTTATTATAGTTATTATTATATACCTATAGTATACTAGAGTTAGAGCTTATTAATTAGGTAAGCCCTTAAGTAAGTAATTAGGTAAGAGATCTTAGTAGCCTTTTAGTAGGTTAGTAACTTAAGTTAAATATAACTTACCTATATAAGAAATATCTATTCTATATATATAGGAGATTTATATATAGTAGTAATTACTACTAGTAATTACGACCTAATTATAGTTACCTATAGTAAACGCAATCTAGACTACTTAATTACCTAGTAATAAAGTAATTCTATATCTAGCTCTAGAATTAGTCTACTAGCCTTAGGCCTTAGTTTCTAATATATTACTAATAGTTAGATTCTATATCTATAATATTATCCTCTATCTATAGTTCTATATCCTTATAGTAGCGTCTAGTAATTAGTCTTAATATAGCTTAGTATATTTCTTAGCTTAGTCTATAAGTAGGCGTAGAGTTCTATAACTATTATAAATATAAAATCTAACTATTAGTAATAAGTTAGGAACTAAGGCCTAAGGCTAATATACTAACTTAAAGGCTAGATATAGAATTACTTTATTACTAGATAATTAAATAATCTAGATTATATTTATTATAGATAACTATAATTAGGTCGTAATTACTAATAGTAATTATAACTATATATAAGTCTTCTATATATATAGAAGGGCGCTTTTATTATATAGGTAGTTTATATTTAACTATTATAGCCCTTAGCGGGAGGCCCTAGACTATAGTTATATATAATAAGTAGGATAGGGTTCTACTTATATCGAGTTACGTATAGGGTAAGATAGGTAAGCTTAGCTCGCCTCGCTTACTATACGATAAGCGTAGTAAGTACTACTTACTAGAATCGTTACGAGAGGACGAATCTTCTTTATATATAGTAGCGGTCTTATAATAAGTAGTTAGGAGCTCCGTACTTAACCTTAAGTATAAGAGTTAGTAATAGGTTTTACCTACTACTAATTAGTTACGCTTCTATCTACGCCTTAACCGTCTACGCCTAGTTACCTTCCTACCCTATTAGCAACCCCTTATAATATTAACCTAAGTTACTAACCTACTAAAAGGTTAACCTTTAGAGTAGTTACTTACCTAACCTATTACTTAGAACTTACTTATCTAACGAGCTCTAATCTTCTTATACTATAGGTATATAATATTTGGAATACCTTTATAGTAGGTAGGTACTTAAAGTAAATAAATAGCTTCTAATAATAAGAGAGATATTAATATAGCTTTAATTAGTTAAGCTATTACTTCTAATAATAAAGATAGGACTAGAATAGCTAAATACTCTATTAAACTAAACTTTTTTTATAGAGATTGTAATAAGCTTAATAATTAGTTAAACTAAATTATACTCTACTTCTCCCTTAGAGATATTACTAGTTAATAATAACGCTACTATATCGTAGTATCCTACCTTTAAGATAAAGCTTAGAACTAGATATATTCTAAGTTAGCCCTAGTTCTACTTAAGAATAAGGATCTAGATAGAATCTTTACTAATTTCTTAGAGTTTACTAAATAGATTAAAGGAATCTATAGACTTAGTAACGACTAGTAGATCGCTATCCGAAATATCTAATAAGTTATATAGAAAGCTTCTATATTTTAATATACTATTAAGTTAAAGGAAGTTACTATATATACTAGATAGGATAGTACTATATTAAGATCTATATACTATTATAGACTTAAGGATAACGTTAAAGACGAGCTTATAAAATATAGAGGGCGCTAAGATACTTTAGACTATTTATAGGAGGCTATAATTAAAGTAGATAATATACTCTATAAACGATATATAGAGAAACGTAATATTAATTAGAATTATAGATAAACTAGCTATACTCCTATAGCTAGACTAGAGGATAGTAACGTTCTAATTCTAATACTATAGAACTCGACGCTACTTAACGTAAGTTTAAAGAAGGTAAAACTAATAGAGTAGGAGCTAAGAGTAAGAACTACGCCTAGAGTAAGAAGTAAGAGCTAAAGTACTATTTATATAGAAGAAACGGTTACTATATATAAGTCTACTATAGTAGTAAGGTATAACTATAGTAGAACTATAGAGTAGATCTTAGAGAGCTTAATACTATAGAAATTAACGTTATAAAATAATATACTAAAGGCCGTATACCTTAAGTCGGAGATAGAAGCTACGGGAGAGTTAGGCGACGAGGACTATCCTATAGCCGATGCTATAGTAGGGT